TTTTAAATTGCTATGATTTCGCATTTCCGTGGAGATTTATCCTTACACCTAGGTATGAATTTCTGCTGTAATGAAAAATATTTTTGCGTATACTTTTACGTATACAGAAGATGTTTACACATTTTTTGAACGATTTCGGTAAAGAATTTAAAAAAAAAAAAAAAAAAAAAAATGCAAATGTTTTGGAATAAAAATTTTCGGCGGTAGCTCATCATTTGAACTGAAAAATATGGTCTGCTATTTTTTAATTTATTCTTCTTTCGAAATCGTATGTAAACAAGCTGTGGATTGAAGGATATTTTTTGCGCTTTCCGAAGAGACATAAACATTGTGAAATGTATGGTATTCAAATTTTTAAGTGCAAAATATGCAACATTTATTAATAGGAAAAGGATAAACTGTTAATCATTAGTTCTACGTAGTAAGATGACTACAAATGAATACCTGAAAAAGGTGAGTTAAAGTTAAATTGTTGGTAACAAGAGAAAATCCACCGACGCAGAAATAAATCAATTGAGCCTTTAAATACATCTTTAGCAACAATAAATAAGTAATAAATCAAGATATACAACTTAAAAAGACTAAAAACATAATGTTCACAAGCTTCTGCTGAGGAATATGGTTCAACGCAGAGCAATTTGTTGAACCATTCATGCAAGCTATTTAGCAAGAAATACATAGATATTGATTGCGATCTTTGATGAAGCATGGGTTTACCTAAATGATTGCAATAAAAAAATCTGATGTGTACACTACATGACTTCCTTGTACGGAATATTAAATTATGTGCATTTTTTTTTTCATTTCATTTAAACTTATTTGATTGAATTAAATCTACTTCGTGGATAACGCATAAACCACAATAGAATAAATGCACTCTTTAAATTCACTATATTTGTTTATCATAGTGATAATCTAGCGCTAGGTTCACTTAACAACGCTATATATGATTTATTAAGACTGAATTTAGAAAATCTCATTTTATAACTCAGAATGCACAAAATTTATATCATCTGAAGAATTATCTAATCGTTGTCACATGTTCTATTCAAAAACTATAATAAATCTAAAACGATGCATAAAAGAAATTAAACAAGCAACAACAACAGCCAAAAAAAGAAGACTGATACAATTATGGCATATAAAAAAACTTTTCATGTATTCATGCGAAGTTCCGTGACGTTTCACCTGTGAACTACTGTGTTTATGGTCTCTTGAAAAAGGCCCTTTGTAAGTGCAAAGCCATCACAATTGATGAACTCTGGAACGTAGTAGAGGAACAAAAATCAATATCCTTGCAAATTTTAAGAAAAGCCCTTCTATCATGGAAATCACGATGCAGACTTATAGTCTCCACCTCCCCCCCCCAAAAAAAAAGACTATCAGATCGATCATTTAATAAAAGTGCTCTTTCCATTTTAAATATTGATTAAAGAAAGTTGAAGCTACAAATGGCTGGCTAAAAGAGCTTAGTTTGCACAGTAATTTTTCCTTCAAATTGCTTTTTTAGCCCAAATGGGCTTTGTCCATGAAGGACTATTGTTTTCGTTTTGCGATTTTGAGTTGAATCACTATAAATATCCGTTACACTTTTCAAACTGTTGCCACCAAATGTTAGAGTCCTGCATTATATTTGAAGAAATTAAATAATGAAAAATCTGCATAAATGTATGTAAATTTCTCGTATGGTGATAAAACAACGGTACACAGAACCATCCAATTTTGAATAACGTACGTTTCCACCCGAATATGGGCATCTGGAAGCCCAAATTTGGAACTTGTTTTATTATCTATTTCATATTTTGTAAAAGTTTAACGAATTTTTGATTAACAAACTCAACGATTTAAAAGCGAGCAACGACAATACTCTACGGGGGCGGAGACCTTTTTATCTCTAGCGCGCGGAGCTGTATATCGGAAATTCTAAAAATAGGCTCATTTTAAAATTATTTTGCGACATACTATTGAACTGAAATTTATGGTTTAAGTGCGAAGAACATGATGTGTAATAAATAAAGGTAACACACAAAAACGTTAAAAAAAACGCCCCTTTAGACATAGTTTAAAATCTGAAAACTTTCAGATTTTTTTTTTTTCCCCCGAATGGCTAAAGTAGTTTATCTCGAAGCAATCAGAAAATTTAGATGTGAAAGCCACAATAAATTGCAAAAAATAAGATGAAAAAACATTTTTTTAATTGCTTAAAAATAAACATGCATTGGAAGAAAAGCATAAAAAGGACTATGTTTTCGGAGAATTCGTAAATTGAAATTGTTGTGACAAATCTCGCTTGTCTGATATCAGTGCTAGACCACAAAAATCCTCGTACCAAGGAGGCAAGATTGTGCCAGTCTTTGGCAAGAACCTTGGGCACCATTACAGGTGATAGTACGACTTTACTTTGTTCCGCCCTCAGTTTTTGAGGGCCTTCTGGGGAGAGCACCCCGGGGTATGGGTCCAAGTGTCTCCCACTACTACCAGCCTCTCGAGAGGACTTACGTCTCGCTGCATATTTAGCCGCACAGACACTATACATTTACATGCTGCTCAGACGCTATACATTTACTTCCCCCATGCCACACAAACACTCTACCTTTGCACACATCCATGCCTCCTCTGAGATTCGAACCCAGACCATTCGGTAGGGCAGTCAACATCGCTAACCACTATCCCGGTTGGAGGGCGAAAACTGAGTGATCAAAGAAACTTTCGTACCCGAAATGCACTGATCCTCAAAATCATTTTGTGAAACAGAAAATAAATCTAAAATCTTGATATATTGCAACAGTGGCTTGTCTCTTTGGAGTCAAAAATACATAAGGAAAAGATAATTTTTTCTATTCATGGACTTGCAATGCTAATTTTAAGAATACAGACGTTATGTTTTCCTTACGAGTACTACATCTACAAGGTAGCAACTACATAAAGATATCAGATCTTGCCACGATGAATTTCGTGGGGACAAAATTTTCTTCTAAAGCGCTAGAAAGACTATTAGTTTCAATTCCCACTTTTACGTGCAACCAAATGTTTTCGTCATATACAATTTTTTTTAAATTCAATAATGAAGAAATCTGTATGAATATAGATATGTTCTTTGCACTGTGGATTAACGACGACACTTTTAAGCGTGGCAGCGATTTATAAATTTAACGAATTTTTGTTAAACACTCAAAGATTTGAAAGCGAGAAGTGGCAACATTGTATGAAATAAAACATTTTTATGTCCAGCCGCCTGATTGTTGCCATTCGGCAAAATATCAGTATCAGTCAATCTTTCAGTTTTAACCTACAAAACCGGCTATTTGAAAGCAACGTATTGCCACTTTTCTACTTTTTAATCTGATTCATTTTAATAAAAACGAATTTAAATAAGACGTTCAATTAGATATGTTGATTTTTTTTTTTTGAAATGACACTAGCTAGACTAATTAGAATTATTATATACATTTTTATAATAACTTTTATAGACGGCTGCCCGCTCGAGCGGCTAGTTTTCAAAGAAATAATGTAGCAAATATTAAAAAAATTATGGCAATCCCTAACATTCTACTGAGAATTCTAAAGATACACTGTTTTGATACATTTCGTGATTTTTCTCCGGAATTTTATGTAGCGTTAAGGGCGAAGAAAGCGACGCATAACAGTAAAGCTAAAAAGCCCTCTCCCTTAAAATTACAAAAAAAAAAAAAAAAAAAAAAAAAAAAAAAAAAAAAAAAAAAAAAAAAACGACTTTATGTAGCTTCGATTAGTGATATTTTCTCATATTTCAGGAGCACAGAACTTTAATTCAAAGCTCCAGTTGGAATTTTGGAATAACACTACTGTACAATGTATTTGTGCAGATATTCTAACTGAAAGTAGTATAAGTATTATTTAAATATAAAATGCTGTCTTATACTGATAGGTAAAAAACCTGAATTTCACATATTTATTCGAAATTTTTTTCTTTAAATATCATATTGAAATTTAATACGGTCGACATAGTTAATCGACTAACTAACTAAACTCTGGAATTAACTGCTAGCCAATTAGGGTAATCTTCTGTTTTCTTAACTTCACATTGATTTACTATTTGATGAGTAAGTAAAAGGGGAAAAGGAATAACATAAGAACTAAAGCCTTCCCTGGGTAATAGAATAAAGTATCCTAACGCAAAATCTAATCATACATAAAAGGTAACTCTATTAGAAATTTTGCCTATTAGAACTCAATTTACAACGTTGAAATACAAATCGCATTTTATTTCAGAAGTTTAGTATTTAATAAAGAAATTATTTCAAGTTCCAACCTTGATTTCATTTTTCTTTTCTGCTTAAGCCTCTTAACCAAATTCTGTTTATACTTTTATGCATTCTGCATAGTCTAGTATGGCGAACTAATGAAAGAAAATCGGGGTATTTCTTTTAATACCCAACTATTGTAGCATTAACCTACAAAAACATTTCGTTACTTGAAGGTGATGGAACTGCGTCATGTTAACTCGAAATGCAGAAAGCCTTTATGTGAAATTAAATCAAATCTAGGGTAGTTTCGCTTACGGTTAAACTTAATTAAGAAAAAAAATCAACCTTAGATTTTTCAAATCGAATTTTGAGTATATGTCATATGTTAATATGTTACATGAGCAGAATGTTAAACGATTGTCCTATTGTCTCAAATTTTTCATATATTGTAATAATAATATTTGAGACATTGCTGAGATAATTTTATAGTTTAAAGTGTTATAGTAAATTTCAAATGAAATAAACGGTAGTCATTCTTTATAAAAGATAATAATAACCTTTTATAGAGAATAACAGTGAAGAAATATGTCAAAATAATTTTTAAAAAAAGAGAGAGCGAAGGGGAAAAAAAGAGAGGGAAGATAAAGGAATTCCGAAAGTACTTCTAAACTGAACTTCATTTGCTTTTTAATGAGCCATAAAAACAAAAAATATTGAAATTAATTAAGTGATTAAAAACCATTCAGACAGTATTTTGAAAATAAAACACTCAGATTTCAAGAAAATTTACATTTATTTCACATTGCATACGTATTACTATGATTTCTCGGAAAACCAATACGCATAGTAAAGGTAAAACATTAAATAAAATTGCTTTGTACAAAAATTGGACTAGATGATAAGAAATCGTGCTATTTTTGCTTAGACCATTCTTCACATATTTTGTTGTTCACATGTATGTCTAATTATAGCAAATAGAATCCTTCTAATTTGTGTTGAATCATATTGTTCAAGTCAAACACAAATATATCAACATTATAATCACTTTGCAACTGGTAATGTGCGTTACAATACTTTAAGAATCCACTAGGAACGCATTTTTCATAAACAACAGATGAAAGATATATTTACACTACATACACATAATTAAAGTGAAAATTACAGCGACTCCTTTCTAACCCGACCGCAGACTGTTCCATACGATTTTGGTCTCCTGTGAAGGTGGTCGTTTTAGAGAGCAGTGTTTTCTGAAATGCTTGTCAGTTTCAGAGCTGGTCGAGATAGAGAGGACTCGCTTTGTTTGCAGTATCTAACACTTTTATTCTGCAGTATACATGAAATTTTTTGCAGTATTACTACTAATGAAACCATACATGCAAGTATTTGCTTCAGTTTTTGTCTATTCTTTTCATTAAAATCTTATTAAATACAATAGTGCTTCGGTATATGTTCGCTTTGAAATACGTCCTACTTGGTATACGCCCTGTTTGGACGCGAGCGGTAAAGTCGCTGAAGACTAGTTCCCTGGGACATAGTTGGGCCCGGGATTCTAATCCCGGCTTACGGACTGGCAGCACGGCGTTTTCGTGGTTTTCCCCATGCGTAACGTGCATGCGAACCAGTTTCTATTTGAAAGTCCTCCACGAAGGCATCCCTTCCCTTAGGCAGATAGCCTTTGAGGGCTTTTCCATAATCAAATAAACCAAACTCACAGGCGTAGTTACGTCTGTTGCTACAATTAAGTAAACAACTCGCGCTATAGCTCTGAATTTTCAAGTGATTGTGTTTTCCCGCAATTTTTTTGTAAATTCATTAACAATGAGCTTTAGGTAAATTGATGAGAACAATAAAGCAACAGAGAAAATGGCTAGAATCACTATATAGATGAAAAAAGATCACTGACATGTGGTATCCTGAACTTACTTAATGGATACCATGCGGCGAGTATGACGGTGGCTACGATTTTGAGAACAAGGGCGCTGCTAAAATCGAGTAAGGTTGCGAAGGTGAAATCGATTAGCAAACAAATATCATGGACGTTAGAGCATGTTAAAAATTTGCTTTTGATCTCGGTGGAAGAAAAAAATTTTAACAAACAAACATGTTCAGTCAGTATCATGTGCATATCATCTTACGCATAGTATATATATTTCACCCATTACATTTGTATTTTAGTATTAAAAAAGTGTAGCAATAATAGGAGTAGATTAATTAGTCTCCTTTTAATTGGAAAAGTTTATTTAGTATACGTTCAAGGATCTGGAATGAATAAATGACATATACCGAGATACCACTGCACTTTAATAGACAAAATTAATTTGCTTTCTGCCTTATGGGTAAAAAACTTTTTAAAATTTTTTAATTCATTGAAGATAAAAACTGGTAAAGCTGATAATTACTTGTATTTAGATAAATTTGAAATACTTCAAATAGAATATAAGTACAAATTCTAGTCAAATAAATAATAATACACACGTTAATTTGCAAATATTTATCATACTTAACACTTTCTTTTAAGAAAAGACTAATGGTTATAAACAAAAAATCTTTTTAAGGCATGGCTACCATTGAATTTCATTACACTTATATATGTGTTTAAAAAACTGAATAAACTTCTTTATAAGAAACTTTAAGTAAAAAAAAAAATCAGAAATTTCCAAATGATTATAACTGACGTAAAATTTTACTCGAGTTTCGAAGGAAAGGAAAAGTTTACATACATCTTGCATGAAAGAAAAGAAAAAAGTAGGAAATAACTGCAGAAATGCGAAATTTTTCTTTTTGAAAAAATACTTATTCACTGCATGTAACATCTACCTCATACATAAATTAGATAACAAATTATTGAATTTTAATTCTTACACACAAGTTTTGTCCAAATATGAGACGAAATGGCTCTATTTTGTTATTGCTTATAATTATTCATTGCTGTATTGTTTCAAATTTTAATATCTACATTATGATTTCAAATTTTAATATCTACATTATGATTAAAAACAGAGCATCGCTTATGAAGCTTACAGGAAAACAACCAGTGATGACGCTGCAAGGATGCGCGGTAACTGTTTAAAAGAAACACATAACATCACTGCATTTTACCGATAATTATTATCAAGACAGTTATGAACCGAACTGATATAAGCGTGCATTTATTATCGCGCTTTGTCTCACTTTGCTTCCTAAATATAGTTTTAAATGCTGATTTTTACAGTTTTGCTTTGTTACAAGTGAGATTAATGCCCTTCGTCCATAGAGTTTTCCCAAGAACCCGGTGAAACATTTTTCATTAACTTAGTTTGGTCTGATTCTTCTTCACTTTCAATATTCTCAGCTTCTCTCAACTGAGCAAGTCTGGCTTGTTGCATTTCAATGTGTTGCTTTCTATGTTTTATTCTACGATTTTGAAACCAAACTTTGACCTGAGCTTCTGTGAGATTCAGTGCTGATGCCAAGTACAGTCTTTCTGGCCCCACCATGTATTGCTGACGTTCGAATTCAGTTTCAAGGCGTTCAAGTTGTTCGGGTGTAAAAATGGTTCGAATTCGTTTCATTTTACCACTGTGTGACACAGATTTCTGGTTGCTGGCACAGGCTAGAATCGTCGGCTTCTCGTTTGAATTGGATGATATGTTGCTCGTGCTGGAAGGCAAATTGAATCTGCTCTGGACATCAGAGTTAGAATGATGTACCCTGGCCTTGTTTTCTGTAAATAAAAGAATAAGATTAGTGAAGCTTTTTGTAACCAAACAACAAGCAGTTAAATTTGAATACTTATTTAAAGTAATCGGGTCTGTTCTTAATATGTAATCTATACTTTTATTCCATAATATCTAATATTTATGCCACATCTTTATTACAAGGTACCAAACATTTATCCCATAATCCATATTACCAAAATATTGTCCCATATCTTTATTCCATAATAGCAAATATTAGTCCCAAACTTTTATTCCATGAGAGCAAAATATTTATCCCATCTTTATTTTATAATACTAAATATTTATCCCATACTTTTATTAAATGATACTGTCTTCTCACGGCCATCTCGTTTATCAAGACAAACAATGTGAATAGGGTAAACGGTTATGCCATAGTCAGGGGCTTTTTTGTGGTTTCATTTCTATCTTTATTTTGGATAATTTGCAAGAAAAACTTCACTAAATCAACAGTTAGAAATAGTTTCTTCTTCGTACTAAACTGGCATTGTTCACGCTATGCTGTGCAAGAGGGCAGTCGCATATTGGTTGCTGTGAAGAAATAAGTTATTCTTCTTCCCAGGCACACAACCATCTGCGAGATATCTACATGTGAAATATTCGTAGTGTTACTGCACATATTTAATCATATGAGACTTAATTTGCTTAAAATTTTTATGTCCCCCCCCCAAAAAAAAGTCTAGAGTGAACATTACGGAGGAGTTTAAGTGTTTAGAAATGTCACTGAAAGTTGTTTTTTCGGGACTGAACAATCATTTACTATTCCCACTGAACTTGATTTTATATTGCTAAAAATTTAACAAACTGTCTTGTCTTAAGTTTTTTAAAATTGCATATAAATAAGTGCAATTGCATAGCGCGTTGCAATTTTACTTTTTTGTTACCAATTTTACGAATTGTTTAGAAGAGAACTGGAGAAGGGACTGGAAGAATAACTGAAGTTCATAAAAGACAATTAAAGCATCTTACAATTTTTTCAAGAATAAACTTCTGTTCGAGAACAATCTGCATGTGATAAAAATACATACCAATTGAATTTTTGAATTTATATTGTATATGTTAAAATGCTGGTATTGAGACATCCTGGATTATTTTTGCTATAATAAATTGTATAAACTAATAGCAGCAAAATTTTATTTCATCTTTCAGAAAAAAAATGGGTACCGGCGTAAGAAAAATAGGGTTCTGATTAGATGAAGCTTCTTTTACAATCATAGATGATATAAGTTCAGAACTAAATAAAAGTGTGTTAGAATAAATGAAAATACTGAGCCCAGACAAATCAAAATACATTTGAAACAATGCTTAGTAAATTATTGTCATACTCTTGGAAAACGTAAGAATAAAGCATGATTAAAAGAGGAATTTGAGGGACAAACGCCACGTAATACTTTTAGCATCTCTTGCTTTATCGTTTTTTTTTTTCTTCCCCATTCAAGTTCCCGACGATCCCTATTAGCATGTCAAGCGATTTGTACGCATTCTTCCTGCTCATAGTTTTTCCACGGACTCAAAGCTGCTTCTCCTCCCCCCGTTCCATAGGCAGTGCCAACAAAAGGCTTGAGGCCACGTGCGAAAAACCTCCCACGTTGTTCGATCCCCAAATACATGACCGTAGACGGGGCACTGAGAACGGTTTTACACCAAGTAACATCCTTGGTCAGGTTTGGGCACACCTAACAGGCACATATCGCTCTTTGGCGATTATTAATTTTTACTGAGCTGAAGTTTCTGTCAACCCGCTGCAAATGAGAGATAATAAAATATGAGACACATTTGAGTAACATAGTTAGTCAGTTCAAGTTCTTTTGATTTCAATTTCAGCAAATCAAAAAAAAAAAAAAAAAAATTTTATTATTTATCAGCAGAAAAATTAGGATTTTATTAGATTTGTAATTAAATTCATCCGAAATTTGTATCGATTTTGTTGACGAAACAATCTATAGGATTCTTAGAATCTGTTAATTAAAAAAAAAAAAAATTAAATAGATGTTAAGATTCTTAGAAGCTGTTCATTTTTTTAAAAAAAAATATGTCATTTTTTTCATAAAAATCCCTGATTATACTTTTTAAAAGTCATATTTTTGTACTTTAAAATTTCTTTTCTTTGTAAAGCATTATTTTAGCCTTTTACCCTGTTGTGTTCTGTTGGTATTTGGTTAACAACATTTATTTCCTTTATACTGCAGCATCAACCAAATTTTTTTAACAATATTCCATAAGCATTGAAAAAGAAAAGAGTTGCATGAATATCTGGAGAATAATATTTCGTAAAAATGATGTTAAATGACGAGTATGCATTGCAATCTTTTCCAAGAATACTAATTGTTACTTGCTATTTGCCTTGGAAAGAGCGACTCGAAATGGCCCCAGAACCTTTGTGAAGTTAACACGCACACGCCAATAAAGTCCCGGTACTTTTTTTGCAAGCAGCATTTTTCAAATAAGTTACTAATTAGGGAATGAAATCGAACCACAGCACCTTTATAAAAAACCACCTATTATATATTATTAACCTATTATATATTATTAAACCTATTATATATTATTAAACCACCTATTTTATATTAGTTTGGAAAACAGTAATGGAACATTTATGGAAAACCTTGGATCCACTAGTGGTCAACATTTACTTCCGTGTGCTCTCTTCTTACATAATAGCGTCGGCAATAATACAATAACTGCATTTACCGCTAAATAAATACTTTTGTGTTTTTCAGCTTATTTTCTTCGAAGTCAGTGCGCTAAATGCTGGGGCGGGGAAGAGAAGTATTTTACATCAGTATTTTATAGTTGAATCTAAGATGAACCTAGATTGTTATGTTCCAGCTTTTGATTACATCAAGATAAGCGTTCCAAACTTGGATTCAAAACTCTTTCTTTGCGTCGAGTCCTTTTAAAAGAATGGTTTTCTTAATCAAGCTCCTTACGTTTTTCTGTACAATATGCAACAAGCAAACATGCATGCAATAAAATCATAATACAAATAACTGCACTGCAAAGTTATTTAAGATAACAATTAGACTAGAAGTATGAGAAAAAATTAAAAAAGTTTTTTTATTGGGTGTTTGTTTTATCATTTTTGTATTATTATTATTTTTTAATTTAAAAAATATAAACAAATTTTCAGAAACAAAATCACAGATTCTGATTGCACGAAAGTTTGATTTTAATATCCGTGATGGTTGTGCTTTATAAAGTAATGCAATTTTTTAAGTATTTGCTGCAAAATTATTTAATTTAACTCTTAGATCCCATTTTCAAAGTCTTTAACCTACTTCTTGTTTTCCGAAATAAACTTTGTGGACTATAATTATTTATCATTTCAGAAGATTTTTAGTGTGTGGTGACAATAACAACGTTTATTTATATTTTCAGAAGCACAGGCTACTTTCAGAAGTGGTCGTCACAAGAGAGTTCACTGTATATATATTTCGTAACTTAACAGGAGGATTAAAAGATGCAAGGATTAATTATCATAACGCGCCTAGAGTATAGTACCCTGTACCTTCACATCATAGAATATTGAAGTGAGCAAAATTGAGAAAGGATACATGATAGACGCTATAACTTGATAGGAAGTAGCGATTTTCCGTTCGTTTTAAAAGCTTCATGTTGGCGACAAAATTCGATACAATGCGTTTCATTCGCTACGGTAACCCTAGCGATGACACGGATAATAACACGATCCTTCCGAGTTGACGTACGTTGAAGGCTTCGAGAGGGGCAATTTGTCAAAACCCTGATATTGGAGTCAAGTGTTTTGACAAGTTATAGGCGGGCAAACTATTCTTCTCGTGCAAAAGCTTTTGCGCCGCTACTAAATGTTGGGGAATCTGTAATAATGAATATCGGTCTCTGGCAATTTATTTTATTTGAGTGACATAAGTGAGTTTTGTGATTGAATTTTTAGCAGTGGCACTGAATTAATATCTCAGTTTACAGCAAAACTCCCAATAGCAGTAAAATATTACTAAAATCATATTAATTTTGTTATCTATTACATTGTTTATGATCGCATTACTTTACGGGAATTAATTTGATTTGTATCGAAAATTTTGATAGTATTTATTTTGCTATAATTCCGTTTTATGTAACTTCCGTTTTTCCATTATTGTTCTAACTTAATAAAGCACTAGTAAACGATATCGTTAGATTTATTAAAACTCATATTATTGTACAGGTTTGTAGGACTGAAAAATTTATTAAAAACTTTAAACCTTAATTATGAATAAAAAACACGCCTATAATTCATAACATAATTTGTCATCAGAATTAACCGTAACCATTTTGTGAAAAATAAAAATATATGTACTTCGTATTCAAAGAAATTTATCAAAATCTGAAAATGATTTACAATATATGGTACGTTTTCGAACATTTAAGTAAGAACTATTGCGAATTTAAGAACATGTTTTACTTAACTGATAATTTTCTTCATATTTTTATGAAATAAACAAATATTTGTCAAGTAATCCATTTTAAAAATTTCTGCATCTGAAAACATGTACATAAAATTTCACGAAAATATTTTACTAAAAAAAGTCTTGTTAGCAACTAAAGCCGATTTTAAAAAGAAATCGACTCCTTAAAATGTATGTATAGTTTTACGGATTATCAATATTTTCAATTCTAAATTATATTTGGAACTTTTTAGAATTAAAGAATTACGTTGAAATTTAATTTAAAGTAGAATTTTTATTTGTTCCTTCAGAAAACAAGAGTTTTACAGCTGCATTTTGAACCTTCTGGTAATTTTTGTTAGATAATTGTCTATAATTTTTTTTTTAACAAATTAGCTACATCAGAAATTTTAATAATATTTAAATTTAGAACGGATGCCAAACAGCTGATAATTACTAGACGTTAATATAATATCTATTTTAGAATATCATTCTTCTTATATGAGGCTTACTTTTTGCAGAATTTCGTAAAAGGATTTAAATAATCGAGTAATAATTTTGCTATTGCCCTTAATGAATGTTCCTATCCATTAAGTGTTCTGAAACTGTTTAGTTGTACCAAGTAATCCATTTTAAAGAGGGTAAATGCTGCGTCTGCGCTTAAATCAAAAGATCTGTGAAATTCTTTTAAAGGTAACTATTAATGCGATATATTTTTTAAAAAAATTTACAGCTATGAATCGACGATTATCGAAGAGAAATTTATCAGAACTGGTGCATATTGAAGAATTTTGAAGCAGATAAGAACTTAATATGAGTTAATCTGAGTGTTAAGCTCTACATTTTTTTAATACATTGTTGCAAAACATACATTCATTTCTTTTTTTTTTACATAATCGCTGATTGAATCCGTCCATTGCTTGCTAACAATATATATATATTTTTTGAATATATCATAAACTCAAGAAAGGAAATATATTTCTTTTTCATACAAAATTAGCTACATTTTAAAGTAAAGTCTTAACGTAATAATATACATAAATTTGTTTCTAAACTCTGAACCGATGCTAATTTTTAACTAATCGCAATTCTTATGGAAATAAGTAAGGAATATAATAAGCTAGGTCAAATAACCGCCCGGGTCTACAGAGCTGGAATCTTGATAATAATTCTTTAATATCTTCAGAAAGTCCACATGCAGCCGAGTGGTAAAAGCCGCTAACACTGAAAAGTTCGGTCCGACGTTCGAGCGAACAGGCTGGCTGAAAGCGCGTTTTCGTGGTTTTCCCCATGTGTATCGAAAATAAGAACCATTTTTCCCTAAAAAGTACCTCTATGGGGGCATCCCTCTCTTCCGATGTAGTGTCTATGGGCGGAGGCGGAGCATGTAATAAGTAAAAAAAAAACATATCTCATAAACTAAATTAAAAGAAGGAAACTGGAGAAAAAACGCCATGCCTAGAACTGTGAAATTTTGTAAATGGGTTCTTATATAGGGAACCTCTTATCTCACTGCGAAAAGCCCTGAAAGTTATGATTTCGCATTACGAATCTATCTAAAACAATTTTCTGCAGAGTTTCGGATCATCAAGGTGTTTTACTGTAGAATTTATGATAATAATATTTTTCTTTTACGATATACTTTCTTCTGTTTTCTTTTACGCCAAAAGTATTAAATTTCGCATCACTTGTTAATAATAAAAATTCTTTACTTTGGCTACGGAGGTATTGTTTATTATGACAAATCACAGAGCAAATTCCCTACCAGTATGCTGTAAGTATTTGCTTGCGCGCATTTATACGTAAATTCGAAGTACTGATATGGAATTTTGTGTTTATTGAATACTGGCTCCTATAAAATTGCGATACATGAAAAATACAAAGGATGTGAATTCGTATTTTCTCCACTAAAATCAAGATAAACATATAAAATGCTGTTTTGTGCGCATGCAAAGTTTATGCAAAAGTTATAGAAAATATAACTGGCAAATTAGGAAGAAAAATAGGGCAAAATATGCTAAGGTATGTAATAATAAAAACTGATTTTTTCATATGCGTTTAGAGTTTGATCGTGTAAGTATTCTATAAGAAATTTTACAATCTTTACTCATTTTTAACTAAGACTTGGGGATTAAAATTTCTGTGGAATTTCGTAATTGTTAAAAAGATAATTATTGATACTAAAAGACTCCAAGAATATTATTTCATCATGTTCATTTTTCAGGTGCACAAATTCGTTAGGTTAGACTACATGCGAAGGAAAATATTAAGCTGAGGTGTAATCTGAAACTATAGCAAAAGATTAACTAAATTACGAAAAATCTTGCTTGATTATCTAACGAAAGAAATATACATAAATTTATTTCTAAACTCTGAACCAAAGATTTTCTAATGAAGGATTCATTGCCCTTGTCTATGCTTCCTGCTTTCAAAGTAGATAAACACTCTGATATATCAGCGGTAATCATGGACGAATATACCACGAGACGAAAATGCCTCTAAGCTTCTCACGCATTTGTTTTATCACCAGAATGGAATTAGCAGGCTATCAGTAGACAAACGGAACATATATGTGCCACCGGAAGCTGATGTCCTCCAGCCGGAATTTATTGAGGCTTCTGATAACTAATTATCAGACACGTGATTCTGCTGCCATGTAGATAACTGATCCTAGTTGTCTCTTCTTATGAGAACTGTATTACGAATGGTTAATTAAATTTATGTAACTAAAAATTATCCGGATGCTGCTGGAAATACTGTGTGTTATTTCCAGCAGCAGTATACTCAAACATATACAGAAGGGAGCAGTGAATGCGTAAGGAAGGTTATGGTTCGAATATAGTTTAAAAACGATGCATTTTTCGAGATTTTAATCTCTTTTATTGGAAAATATCTGTTCTCTTTCCTCGGAAATGTAAGTCCTTTTATATGAAAAGCATACATGAAGTTTCTTTGTGTTGCCCTGATAGAGACCTAACATAAAATTAAACCCGAATAAAATTTCATAGAATAAAATTCCGTATTTTTGATTATTATTTATCCTAAATTTGTTTATATATATTGGGAAACCATAAGTAAATTCTCTAAAGTTTTAAGCGTACACTTATAGTAGCTATATATCATTATAAACAATGTCAGCCTAAACATAAACCTCGAAAGAATGTTATTCCGAGGTAATGATTATTATTAGTTCTCATTAAAATTTAGCAATGGGATTCGACGTGGAACTGGTAAAAAGATTAATTTTTGCATTTATTATTTACGAGTTTTCTCTTATTATTGAACTTTCTTAATTCATAACGGTAAAATAAGTTAACATAAATAATTTAGAAAATATTCCTATATTTCATAACCTCCATCATTTGGAATGACTTACAAATATTCCTAAAACGACAACTTAATTAAGTTATTCATATAATCGGATATACAACTAGATTTTTAATTTTCTATTTGTTTCTTAAATGTGTAATTGAATTCGGTTACAATGCATGTAGATACAGCGAGTTTTCATCACTTATATTTCGTTATTGTACGAGATCAGTCATATATAGATTAAAATCGATGCATCTTTCCTGCATTCCGATTAAATGATTAATTGAAATTAGTTATACTAAGTATATAACTTATTTATAATCAGTCTGTAGCCCCGATTTCCATAGGAGCAAATAGTTCATAGATGTATTGGGTCGTAGCGGTTTTAATTTGTGTATTTAATCAATATTTAGCTTATGACGGATATACAGAGAATTCTAAGGCAGGAACAGGAAGATCAATAGGTGTGATGATGATTATACATGATAAAAGTTAAAATTAATTCGATGTCTTTCGGCTTCACCTTTTTCATCACACAATAAATGCTTCATTTCAGCATGGCAAACACAATTAAGCTTACAAATTACTTTTTATTGCATTAAACTTTATTATATAAATTTTTACAAAAAAACAAAAAAAAAAAAAAAAAAAAAAAAAAAAAAAGAGTATGTAGATATAGAAGTAGAACGAAGTGCCCTAAAATTTTTATTCTTTATATTACATTTAAGAATATTTATGTTTTCAAAAACGCTGGATACTTTGCAATTTCTCGCCTTTACTTTCTTTGGTATAGCAAACTCAGTAAGCAATTATTACAGTATTATTATTCAATATTAAATTTGCACATGCTACATACTTTTACCACTTATCACCTATAAAATTATTTTGTTACTTTTTACTAAATTAGCATTATATTTTGTAACTTTTACTTCTCTCATTGAATTATTTCTGAATAGTTTGATCGTTATTTTCTAAACGTACGCTTAATTTTATTATTTTCACCTGAACTTTACATCTATTTGATCTTTGTTTTATAAGCAATTGTTTATATTTGAATATCTTTTAAATATTTTTGGTATTTCCTAATATACTTCCTGAAAAATTAGTCAATTTTTCCATAGTATTGAGACTAAGCTGTGAAGTATGGATTAGTTACGGTTACAGATTTCTTCATTATTACACCAAAATTATGCTAACACGTACTAATAGTTTACGTGCAATATTTTTGCAAATAATTATTCATTGGGTGCTTCAAATGCACTCTAGTTTAGAATAAATGTGTATTAATTGTTATTTATATACTATATATTACAAAACAGAATTATTAAAATGTGCTTAAACGTTTAATTGCGTTTTGATACTACTGCTTGAAGAAAATGTAAAATCAAAAAAGAATATGAAATACGTTACAGGTTCTGTATAAATACTCGTATTTCAAATCTTTCACGTTAGTAAAACAAAAAGTTCATTGATGGGAACGAAGAATTGATTATTCTATGTTATTTTCAGTACACAAAATTCGAAAAATGCATAATAAACAAGGAAGGTGAGTTTGCTTTTCTTTCTTTTTAAATACATGTTTACCTTAACGTAATAAGCAATTAAATCATCAATATTGAGCAAACTAATTGTAAGATCCAAAAAATGTAAAAACATTTTGTTTTATGTTGAAATCTTGAAAAATATTATATTTTTAACTTATTTTCTGTACGAAACATACTTGTGATATTTTACTTATTTTCTATAAGTATTTCTATATGAAATCTACAGTAATTACAATACTGCCTGGAGAAAGAGTAAAGTAAAATTACAAATTTTTTTAAAAAAAATACAACTTTTGAAGTTATTCATACTACTAGAGGAAAATAAATTTCAGCAGTTTATCAGTACATAAAGGGATAAGTTCAATGTAAAAATTGATACAAATAAGCAGGAAATTATCGCTGAATATAGTTTCTTTGAAGTTCAATTCATCTATTCATCTTTATCAGGTATTAATTACCATTATTAGAATCATTAATTTGTGCTAACTATTAATTTGAACTTCATTTCTTTACATTTCTGTAGACATTAATTCCGTAAGCAGTGTCTGATATCTGATATTAATTCTGAAAGCACACTTTTTACAAGTATAGATACTAATTAATTTTTTTATAAGAATTCCAGTTTTGCATTTAACAACTATCATATTAGATTGCATATAACTGAGTTTCACTTTCATTTCAGGAAATCAATTACTTTCAAAAAATAGTTTTGAGAATTTTACTTAAAAGAAGAATTCTACCTGCCTGATCTGAAAATTAAAGATATCTACGATTATTATGCTTCATAATTATGCATAAATCGCACATTAAGCATAATAGCGCTAAATATCTTACATTTTCCTCCAGGAAAACTAACACTGCGTTTATGCCTTAGTTTATTTCAGCATGATTTAAAAACTTCGATTTATGGCACTAATCCAAGCAAAGTTTTCTTGTCTGTTTTAAACAAGCGGAAATGCGTTTCTCCTGCTTGATCGTTTGAATTTCATTCAGTGTCTGACGTTATCAATTAAAAATATCAAAGACAACCATACTACATTCGCATGTAATTGAAGTGTTGAAGGAAAAAAAAAAATTACGAGAACCTTACAAGAGATTAAATATTTAAAATAAACAACACACATTTGCCAATAGCTAAAGCATCCTATTAAAACCCCTAATTGCAATTTTTTTAAATAAATATGTATAAACAAAAGTTGTGCATAAAAGATGATATAATTATTAAATAAGAAATTTAAAGATGATATATATTATTAAAATTGTGCAGTATGCTGCAAAATAAATTGAATAATGAAGACATGAAAATTAAATCAAATTTAAATTATGAAAGTGAGCAGCTTTCCAAAAGGAAATGCTCAAATCAAAATTAAAAGAAAAATGTAGGCATATAGTTAAAAAATTAAAATAAAACAAAATAAATTCATATAAGCAATATAAATGTTGAAAATCATTTGATCTTTTCCGAGGAGTAGCCGAAAATTTTTTACTACAGCCGCTTTTCTGAGTTACATCTAGATAACTTGGAATTTTTGAAGCATTTCAAAATAAAAATTAAGTGTCAGTTAAGATTATTTAATTAAAATAAGTGCTTTAAATGTGCAACGAATTAAAAAAAATTGTAAAAATATTTTAAACTTAATTAATTGTTGTGATATCTGTTTCAGCGTGACCCTAACACAGGCATTAAAAGCAGAATACTCGAGTAAGTAACCATAAAAACATTCGAGAACTAAAAGCAAAGTTTTAGAAAAATTTTTAACCAAGGATTAAGCAGAATTGCTAAAAATGTTTGTAAATCATAAGATAGATATTTTATCAAATTATTGTGCTTTATTAATTTTTTAACTGTTTTTGTTTTAATTTTGATTTGAATAGAATATTTTCTGTTTGAAAGTTAAATTTTGATTTAATTATTATTTCTTGATTATATATGCAGATTTTTCATGTATAACAATTAAAAAGCAAAGTAACAGAACAACATAAGACATCTTACCTCTTTCATTTCTTAATGCACTGGATTCAACAGACGATGAAAAGAGCGCCGTCAGATCTGATCTCGGTGTGGCCGATGGAACAGTATACGATTTCGGGGATAATAACCGCCCGTCGCGGCCGCCTCCTGGAGCGAAATCATCGCCGTATTTATCTGCTTTCTCGATTCTGTTGTCATCAAGTCCTAAAATTGCTTCGATTGTGAAAGACTTCTTCCTGGAAGTAATTCTGGAAATGTTCTTTTCCGGTTGCGGATAACTTTTCTGTTGATATACTAAGCCGGTGAAAGTAGTTGTTGAATTCGGCAATCGGCTGGACATTGCGGCATCGTAGCATCGGTTGACGAAGTTGGCCGCCGGTGGACTTGGTGTATTAGATGGTGAGGAAGATGTCATGGAATCAGCAGCAGAGACATCCACGAACGGACGACACGATAATGAGTATGGGAAAGATAACATTGTGGTTTGCATGCTTTTTGAAATCTTCACGATAAAAGATGTTTAGAAATAATATACAGCGATGATACGTTAACTTAAAGATGTTACCATATGAATGACTTCATCCGTTATTGCTAAGTTCTACAGGGGAAAAAAAAAAGTCGACTATTCAGTAATGCAGGGGAATCTGAAAGAGGATAAGCTACTTTCTCAAGAGAGATCTTTAAACTGAAGGTGATTAGAACCTACTTGGATTCGTTCTATGTCAACTGTATCCTTATTACCGACATTTGTCTTTCCCTGAGGTTCTTCGGTCTCGACCAATAGAAGACTATGTGGCGTGACGTCAGATTCTCTGCTTGCTATGGTTGGTGAGATCGGCTCTAATGATCATGTGAGGGTGGTTTCGAGATTTCGCCTCCCCCCTCCGTCCCGAAGGGATGTTTCTGCTACGGAGCTAAAGAGAATCAGGTAATGTCCTGTTTATTGCATTAGAGAAAGTGTGTGCATAGGAGGGAGGGAGGAGGCCGGGGGTAAGGAATGAGGATGGGAACGCTCATTTAAGTAATTAGTGGGATGGAGAATTTTAATGTGCTAGAAATTAGCGATCTTCTAAGCGTCGATTAAGGAACGAATTCCAGGATTCTCAGTGAACTATTTTCGATTTTATTTTCTTTTTATAAGTCGAATGATGCTATGGAAACACAGATTGTTATGAAAATAATGAAAACAGTATAAGAGAAGTTATGATTATTATTAAGATTTAAGTGAGTTTGATGTTGCTTCTCAGTTAATTTCATAAGCATTGTTTATCATTAAAATTTTCCTCGCGGATGGTTAAATATATTTTTTTGGTGATTTCGTTTGTTAAATAAAATTAAATATTGGTACCCCAGAGGAGAAATATCTTGAGGAATAAAGCTTCTAATTAAGCAAGAGTACATTTTTGACTTAATGTTGAAATTATAGGAACTCTCAAATAAATTGTAACTGGTGTAAACTAAATTAAATTTTAAAGGAAATGTCTTTTATTAAAAGTCCTTTTACTAATATCTTACATTTAAAATCAGTTAAATAAATTTTTAATAAATTTATATTGTGTATGTAGGCATATAGTTACTGTTAACATATTGTTAAATCCATACACTAAACCAGGCCCAACATTAAGCTTTCTGACTTTTCTGACACTAACTTTCGATTTTTATATTACTTTTGTTATTTACATCATTTTTATGCAATTGTATAATTTACGTGAAATTATAGCCTAAAAAAAGGTATATATGTATATAGTACATACATGTTGAAGAATTTAAGAGTACTTAATTTAATACTGTATGATATAAAATGCACACACGCACGTGCGTTATTTGTATAGTATAGTGTTTAATTAAATATTCTTCAATTTTTTCTGTCTCTGGTTATGCATCTATTTATATTTAATTACAGTAGCTAAACTCTTATCGAAAAGCTTAAACTTGGGAGGTATTTTGAAGTAGTTTCTTAATTAAGACCCATCCATGCAGGGGGAATGCACATTATAATACTTATTGGCTGTTTTACAATCCACTAAAATATAGTTGATTAACTTTCATGTTTATATTTATATTTTTCCTAAAAATTTATAATTTTAATAAGAAATGCACTAAAATATTTTAAAAACCTAAATGAAATTGATATAAGGTTTTTCTTTGTTTTGTTAAATCTGATACAGACTGACTAAACATTACTAAGCCTGATGTATTTTGCACAACAACATAAATATGCTTAACATTCAAGCTGACAGCTTTCCTTTTCGGCCCTTCTGATCACCTTTTAATGATAAATATGTTCCAGCTTATTGATACAGAAGAAAAAAAATAGTCATATTTCATGATTGGTCCCTTCTTCTACAAAAAATATTAAATTTTATAGCTCAAAAATACGTTGTACGAAGTAACTGCATTAAAGTTTACACCTAATCGAAATTTCCTAACTATACGTAAAGCGAAGTCCATAGCTTAAACTAAGTTATGAAGTTGCTGTTGAAGAATTCAAGTAACGATAAAGTCATTTAATATTGACCGGGAAAATATTTTAAGAAATATAAGCGTGGAGAAGGATTATCAACAGTGGAAAACTCTTAAAAGTGTAATTACTCCTTAAGGACTGTTAAGTTATTCAGTTACGACTTCTGTAATGTAAAAAAAAAAAAAAAAATGAACTAGAATTCAACACATTCGCAGCACACCTGTGCAGAAGGGAAGTGTATTTTTGTTGCTGATGTGACAGCTGTTAAAGTTTCTTAAATGTGAGAAAACTTGGTTTTAGAATGAGTTTCTTAAATAAAGATTTTTCAGAGTCAGCAGAAGTTTATCAACAGAGTCTGGCTTCATTGTAAATTTTTCATTTCTGGAACCCGAATTCGGATTTTATTGAACTAAAAATTTCATATTTTAATGTTTATTTGCAGTTTTTTGCTGTAAAAAGGAGACAAATCAATAAATAAATTTGCATATCAAACAAAATTATGGAACTAACTTTTAATGTCTTATCCGTTAATTGGCTACAAATGAAAAGAATAATTTTGCAATACGACAGCTCTTTTCAGCCGAAGTTAGCTGACTGGTTACTTAGATTAAAAGATTATCAGTCATCTCAGACTCATACTGCATGCAGGGGGAATGCACGATCTAGGAACAACTGATAGTCTTTTTTTTTTTTTTTTTTTTTTTACAAGATGAAAATCCCAGCATTACCTGCATTCTATTATCCCACGTATACTGGTTTTCTTTCCGTATTTTTTATAAATAGTTTAGATTACCCTGATGATTTATGATAAATATTTCTCCATCGCTCAGGACTAAAAAAAACTTTACTCTAAGAAAGGGCGTTTAAACAACTTCCTTGTTAATCCACCATCGGTTAATCCGGGAGCGTACCTTTTTGTTTTCTGCTTCTACCGAGATTTTACTTAACATCCGATTAGTTTAACACAGTTTTTCTCAAACTGTGCTCTGCGAACCAGAAACGGTCCTCCAAGATTTGAAAAGAATGTTTTGTTATTTATAAACGAAAGTAACAAGATTTTACATAATTTCTTGCTGATTATATGCGGCAAAAACACTGCCATATCTATCAGATATATTCTCACAACTAAATTAACTAAATCTCTGCTTATATAAGGTAATTGAGTATTCTCAATGTCCATACGAAAGTAAAGAAGTTTGGAAAAAAAAAAAAAAAAAAAAAAAAAGAAAGAAAGAAATAAAACAATTTATGAGTTAGTTGTGTTCCAAGTTCAGAATCCTTTTAAATTTTAAAATTTTTTGAAAATCGTTATTGGAAAGAATTACACAGTAATATGTTCGCATATCGAAATTCAGAATTCGTAGTTTGAAGCATACTTTCTAAGTGGTAAATATAACAAATCTTCGTGAGTTTGCGATTCTTCCCATTGCTATTTTGAAAGTAAATTGTCATTGAATGAATTAATTGAACTCTTTAATGTCACCGGTATGGTTAATTTCTGGACCTTATTTTCAGTCAAAACGGAGTACAGTGAACTGCTTTTATAATTATAATACAGTTTGCTTCTACGTAACTGTGTGAGGCAAGATTTTCATCACCCACTCAAATGGATTTTTTCATGACGGCTATACGTACGTACGTGTGTATCTCGCACAATTCAAAAACGATTAGCTTCCAGTTCCGCAAAGTTAACTTTCTATAGAAAATCAAACAGTTCCTGTGCCTTTTTCAACAGTTCGTTTAAATTCTGGTACGTTAAGGTTCTTTATCTTTTTCATTATCGCTGCTTACAAAGTCGGCTGGTGTTATAAGATCACTCTATTTTTTATACGTCATTTCTTAGCTTATTCTTTAATTCAATATCTGAAAAATTCTTTGCTGCCAACTGCTTTTGAGTTTTGTAAGGTTTCTTTGACTTCACTTTCAATTATTCAATTGGTAAAATGTTTTATACATTTTTCAATTTCAATTGGTAAAATGTTTTATACATTTTTAATCCCAAATTACGAGAGCTTTGTTTAAAAATGTTCATGTATGTCGCAAGCATCGGCTCCCGGTGTCATGTATAATCATGTTTTTACTCTGTATTTAAAATCCTAATACGTGATTACGTAAGTAATGTAACTAATTGCTTGAGTAAATCTCTTTAGTTTTACTGTCACGAGAACCCTCCATGAGTCATCACTAGGTATTCCTAACATTATCAAATGCTGGTCTATCATAAAACCTGACTCCTTTCTACTAACGTACATTCACATCCCAGCACATAACCTCCTTTCCGATGGCGTAACCTCATACTCGAATTCAATTAAAGATCGAGTATCAGTTGGGATTGAGACAAGAATGCAATAAACAGAGAGAGAAGGGGGAGAATGGGAGTGGAAAAAAAACCTCGATCGGGTTGGATGAAAAAAAGTCTGTTGTTCTCTTCATCGGTTGATTGATTTTGTCTAATGCTTTTCCCCCAATAATCTTCTTTATGGTTAAAAATTCGATCTGAAGCCGGGCGCAAGCTTATGGGTTTTTTCTTTGATTTTAAAACTGTATATTCCATTTATACATAGGAACAGCTTTTTCTGAGGAATAAAAGGGAACGTTTGGAAATTTTAACCTGGAATTTTATTGTCATCTATCTGATGATGCATATATTCTTTTCCGTTCAAATAAAATGTTTTGTTTAAAAGTAAACTAGTTTAAAAATTAAATTGAGAATCAATTATTTTTAAATGGTTCAATCAGAAAATTTTCTTATTTTGTTGTCACAAAATTTCTTTCCGCTTTGTTAAAATAATGTATTTTACATTTACAGTTTTTATAATTTGAATGATAAACTTACTACATCGTTTCTTTAATTACTCAAATTGTCTACAATTTTGTGAATATTTAATCAATCGATCTCCTTTTTCTGAATAATAATACAAAATGATCCGATATGTTGCAGAATTTTTGAAAGTCTATTTCAATAATTTCATTTGTAAAAACAGCGTAAAACCATTAATCCAATACAACTGTCACAAAAATTATAACAGTAACTCTATTTATGAAACATTATAAATATAATACTGTTGCGTTATTTTCCTTTCTGGCACCAGTTCGTTACGTTATTTTCTTCCTTCATGTTCGTACGAGGTTCGTAGATTTGGAGTGAATAATGACGACACTGGATGAAGTATCGAAACACACTTTATTGGCCGGTATTAATCAGGACAGCTCCAAAATCTCGTTTACAGTCCTCGAACTGTTATAAACACGCTGACACGATCAGCGACACAGCCTTCAGGTTATCAGGCTATCACGGTGCAGACAGCTTCTCGGCAAAGCACTAGAGTGCAGCTCCCGACTCTGCTTGGTCGTTCTCGGAAATCCATGTACTCTCGAGACTCTCCACGCTGCAACTCGCGATGCTCTCGATGACACGAAGAGCACAGCTCCTGACTCTTCGGTTCAGTCGTTCCCGCAGCTCAACACGCTCTCTCGACGATGCACTAACCGAGATACACTACGAGACTCTTTCGGTGCACTCGACGAGCCACTCGGCACTCACTGCCCGGCTGTCAACTCGATCGACTCCGCAAGGATTGACTCACTAGACGAGACACTAACTCGATACTAACTATCAGCTCGCTAACCGAGGCACACACTCACTGACTGCGGACCAGCAGTGTCTATATAGCTTTCGGCTTGTGTTCGAGAACATTCTGGGCTAAACCGGTAAGAATTCGTTCCAGAAGGTTCTCCATTCGTCCATGGTATATCGCCAATTTTTCGCCAAATGTAGCCAAATGGGCGATTTCTTGCCAAATGTGGCAACTTTGCCTTCCGTTGCCATTTTATGGCCACCCTAAAAATGCTTTGCCGGGAAGCCATCTTACCGCGGCTGTACATTTCGTAACAATACCAGTAATTCGTTGGACATAAATAATTAATTACTCATAATTATTAATAAACGTAAGATTCAAGAAATATTTTAACTGTTTAAAATTACTTGATGGACAAAGCTTTAAATAAAATTAGAATTAACATTCAGGACCGAACTAAGGGGAAAAAAATCAAGCAATAACCTACTTAAATATATTTATCTTGAGAATAAAACTACAAATATTACTCAACTAACTAAAAAAATAACTCAAAAATTACTTCTAAAATAAAGACAGAACTTGAGGCTATGTTGTTAAATAATTGACCACTGAAAATTTTACAATGTTGGAATAGAAATTCTGCATTATAAAATAATTTAGTTCGGAGCTTGTACTGATATTAAGTATAAACTACTCTTATTCATTTCTGGATAATCCATAATTGAACTATTTTATTTTGGAAAGGGATACGAAAGCGAAAATTAAAAATTAAATTTTGAATAGATATTACAGATACTTTTAAATATCAGGTATATCTACTTTACAATAAGTTCTAAAGCCCTTATTTTGTTTCATCCATGAGTAACGCGAATTCGAGGTAGTTTCCTTTAGAAAGAACCCATGAAGACATCCCTTCCTGGGCAGATAACCCTCGTGTACTCTGCCATATTCAAGTAATCTAACTTAAAGAAAGCCCTTATAACATAACGTAAACATTCAGCCAATTTAATATTTCACACAACTCTATCCTGTACAAGAAAATAGAACACTTTAATGTTTCACACAACTCTATCCTGTACAAGAGAGATTCGCTTATTTTCCCTATAAATATAAAACATTTTAGGTTATTTAGCTTTTCAGTTAAACAACTGTCACCATTTCACACCTGGTTCGATTCCAAGCGAACGGACTGCCTGGAAAATAAGCGAATCTCTCTTGTACAGGATAGAGTTGTGTGAAACATTAAAGTGTTCTATTTTCTTGTACAGGATAGAGTTGTGTGAAATATTAAATTGGCTGAATGTTTACGTTACGCTATGTTATAAGGGCTTTCTTTAAGTTAGATTACTTGAATATGGCAGAGTACACGAGGGTTATCTGCCCAGGAAGGGATGTCTTCATGGGTTCTTTCTAAAGGAAACTACCTCGAATTCGCATTCCATATTCCCCATGTGTAACGTATGTAAGAGCCGATATTCCTCAGAAAGTCGTTCACGAAGGCATCTTTTCTGTTAGGAAGATAGTGTACTTTGCCATAATCAATTGAAACAAGCAAATCTCCTCCGCGCAAAAACCTAAACTCACCATTTATTTCAATATCGATTATTTCGTTTGCGGAGGCCTATTGCGTAATTTTTTTTTTCCAGCCAGTTTAAAAAGTATTTAATGCAGAATTATATATTTAATATTTTATATTAGTTAAAAAGTAAAAAATATAAATTAGAAAATAAGTTTGTGGGCTTATTATTATTATTATTATTGATTGACTCAGCTTTGATACGTTTTTAGTTCTGTATGATCTCTTCAAAGATTTCAGCAGAGTTTTATGAATTGCCGAACATTACATTATTAATACATTCTGCATAAGATAAAACCACATTATTAATACATTCTGCATAAACCACATTCCGCAAACGCTCTAAAGTACGTAATGTTTAAACAAATTAGTAATTTTGTTAAAGCTCAATAAGTCCGTGATAAAATATTAAAAAAAAAAAAAAAAAAAAAAAAAAAAAAAACCGCTTCTGATGTTTACTTGGGGCAATGACAGGTGCAACTCGATAAACGTTTCGCGGTAAGGAGTGCAAGGGTTTTCAATGCCTTTTCTTAAAGTGCCCTTTGCATTCTTCATTTGGGTCAATCGCTGTTGCAAAATCACACATCCCTGTGCATTTTAAAATTATTTATTTAACTTCTTGCAACTTTAAAAGCGCTTTATCTTGCTTTCACTGTCCGCTAGTTTTGTAAGATCATCCACTTCTTCATTCATCATTTCTCGATTAATTCTTTGAGCTTTTTTCCTCTCTTATTTGAAAATTTTTTCGCTGTCTATTGCTTTTACAATTTGTCCGATTTCTTTGGCTTTATTTACAATCGATGCAAATTCTTTAAAATTGTTGGTAGCTATTGGCCGGTCCCGATGCCAGCAAGCATTCAGTATTGATGAATGAATGTTGAACTGCGTATAAATAAAATTCTAGCTTTGGACGAACTAAATGGAAACAATTAAAATAAGGCGTATATGCGAAATAGCGTTCGGCAAAGATTTTGGAAATATTTCTGGTGAATTTTTAAGATACACTCAAAACATATTCACCCTTTTATTCCATAATTTTGAACTTTCTCATAAGTTACATAGACCTAAGCACCCCATTATGCTTTCTCTTCTGAAATAATATGTATGACATCAAATAAGTTTTCAAATTTTAATTTGTGACCAAATAAAAATAATATTTCAAGAAAAAGAAAAGGAAAAGAACAATATATTTAACATTCTTTAGTTTAATAAACTCAATTCGTCAGATATGTTAAAGCGATATAAAAACGACGACAAAGAAAGGGGAGATGCTAAGTTTAATTTAAAAAACCTTAAATCACTTAATATGTATTCATATACTTATACTACTTCTTTCATCGGACATGCAATATAAACAAATATATACACTAATGATAGTGCCGTATCAGTAGATCGTAAAGAAGAATCTTAATACACATGCTTGTAATTTATTGTTGAGTTAAAATGGTTGTAAAATGAATAAAGAGAGACGGGGACCTTTTATCGCAAACCGCATACGTGTAACGCATCAACGAAAAAAAAAAAAAAAAAAAAAAAAAAGGCAGCGCAGGATACCAATTACGTCATTTCTAATAACAGAGCAGAGTTATTGAAAGAAAAATTACTCCTAAACCTTTATAAGGGGCAGTGCTTTATCATTAAAATATTCGAGATTGCCGTTCAAGTGTAATCATGTCGTTGCGATTTCTACCCAGGCGGGGGCGTATATAAACCTCACTGTAACCATTCGTAAACTGTTTAGTTGAAATTAAGAAAATTGCTCGACATTAAGGTAATACGCATTTTTTATACGTTAAAATAAAATGTATGCACATTAAACAAGTAATAAGAGCTAAAGTATATTAATACATTACTGCAACATCTCGTCGTTCAAGAATAATGGAAAATTCTATCGAATTTTTTCAGAATTCGTTCTAATGTGGGAATATTAGTTTTTCTTCTTCTGCAATCATAATATTTATAAAATTGTACTTTACATTTGTTCAGTACAATAAAATTTTGGATTTTCATACCTTTTTTGGTTTGCTTCCGGGATCAGTTGCTGTAGATCAGGGGTTCTCAACCAGGGAGGATTTTCTTCGACGGGGATATCAAAGTTTCAGAAGAGGAATTGTTGTCAAACTTTTATTTAGTTATGAAATATTTAGTTTTAGTTTATGGATATAAAAATACTATTTTATTCAAATTTTCGTATTTTTGAACATTTTTTGTCCTTTTTGCTGTTTAATTTACAAAGCAAGTTAAAAATTAATCTAAAAAATATTATTATTATTATTATTTTGGTCTTGGACAGGAAAAGGGAGGAGAATAATCTTCTAGCAGCGGTGAAGAGGATGCATAGGGCAGAACAGTTTGAGAACCACTGATAGATGTATATTTCCATTTATTTTTCAGCAGCGATTTTCTAGATCATTTCTTTTTTGAATATGTCAGCTTTTATTGTGAAATGATTGCGAACTGAAATCAGTTGTTAGGTCAGCAAGATAAAACCTAGATAACTAACTGCACATGTTTAACTTTACCTTGCCAAAAGGAATTTTTGGCTTCGCATCTAAACAGAAATCAAACTAAATTTCAATAGCATAACAAGGAGTAAATCTCAGCTATAAAGCTTATTTAAACGGCTAGGAAATCATCTTATTCCTGACACGTGAAAGTGTTATCACTTCTAGGTAGCAGTTGGAAGATACGTGATTGAGTCCAGGAGAGAATATAGCTGATTTTTTTTTCATGTTTCCTCATCCGGATAAAACTTAATATCTACAAACTACTATTTGCCGTGCAACTAAAAATTAACAATACTATCCATCCTGTTTGTGAGTTTCTAAAATTCCTGTATTTTAAATGAGTAAAACACGCAATCTAACTTTCATCTGAATAACTTGGCTTCAGTTCAATAATATATAAAGTATTTCTCTCTTCTTCCAGCATGTCTTCGTGGTGTAACGATTAGCCCACTCGGCGCATATTCGAGAGGTCTGGAGTTCGAGTCCCGGCGAGGGCATTGCTCATTTTTCATGTTTCCTGCTTCAATTAACCTAATATGACTGTACAATCCAATGGATTTTTTAGCTTATTTTTAGCTAATGGAAAGCTCGAATAGATTAAAACAAGCCTCTCGAATTTATTAGTTAGTAAGGTGAGCGACTTTTTCCTCAGGGTGATAAAGTATTTTGGTTTGTTTTTTACAATACTCTGTCTTAATTATAACTTCACCAGTTATTTAAAATAACTTAAACTATTTTCTTTTTTTTTTTCAGATGGAAGCTGGCAGAAGAAGTACCGAAAAGAACACAAAATTACGAATTATCTTTTTAAAAAAATGCTGTAAAGCATGTTTGCGAACTGTTTAATCATGTTTTATTTTGAGTGAATTTCATTTAGACCATTATAACTTTATTACTACTTACTTATTTTCCTCCTCATATTTATTAAATGGCGGTCACTAATTTTGTGACTTTTGCTCTTGTCCTTAATGCTTACGTTCGAATATGTAATGGACTTGAATCATTAATCATTTAACAACAAACTTTACAATTATTTTCTTTTCAAAATTTCTAAAGAGAGTTTTTATCAGCCTTGCTGTACGATTAACCGATTTTGGTGTTTATAAAATGCACGAAATTGATTTTTCCCCTTCGTATTAGGCCCCCCCCACCCCATTTCTCATCTTTTTATCATTCAACGAAGATAGAATCGTTTTTCCCCATTTCTTCGCTTTCCTCCTACAATATTCTGGAATAATCTACTGTTTGTAATCCTTAAAATATTGAAACAATTAACTGCATCATTATTCAGTTTTATATTAGTCTGTAGTTGGATGATCTAAGTAAAGTAAGAACATGCATTCGAAAACAAGGTTATTTTTCTATCCAGATCATTTCCTCATTCGTTATATTTTACATTGAGAAATGCATATAATGCGAGTAGTACAAATTTCCAGATCAGGATAAAATACCATCTAAGATTCCAAACTTTGAATGTACTGCAATGTGTCTGGAACGTTGAGAACTGCTAAGCGAATAATCGCTAGACAGAAAACAGAAACTCGAGAAGGGTTAATTAACCTTTATTATTCCAAATAAAGTTTAACATATGACTCCTTTCTTGGAGTTTACAATAAAGCCTCCACTCGGGCTTGAACTCAGGAAACTAAAAACTAAAACTTAATTAAAAAGATATACCCGAAGCTATCAAGATTCTAACACAGTTGGCCCCTTAACGTTAATTAACGGCAAAGCTATCAAGGGCCTAAAGTGCGGCCGATCGTAATAATAGCTTGTTAGAGAGTATCGCTAAAAGGCGAACGCGCGCTGATCAGAATCTCTGGTTCTCTAACGAAGTCAGTAGAACTTCACAGTTAAATATTTCTCCTCATTTGCATTCAAACGCGATTCTGAAAATACATTCTGGCCGTAAGTTGTAAACTGAAATTAAGGAAAGATAGGAAAGTAACTTTAACTCAAAATTAACTGTTAGAAAAATTAAGATAAACCTTACAACCATAAGAAATTTTTTCCCTCTCCTTCCCGCCAAAAAGTCAGTTTTCATAAGTTCCATAGTTATACGTTATACGGGCGGACTTATTGCATATATCCCTCTTTCTCAAATATACGTTATAGAAAGTTTCCAAAGGAAAGGAAGATTTGATTTTGAAATAACTTCAGTAAATTTTACTTGGTATAATTAAAGGTTCTTTTATTCAGCCCAAAGGCACGTTAGTCCAGAAGGGCTATTAGTCTCGAAACGGCATTTTGCGTCCAGTCACTAAAAGCGTTGAATTACTTTTTAAATTGTTGCCAGCAAATATTATAGCGCTGTATTAGATTTAAAGAAATTAAATAATATAGAATCTACATAAATGTATGCATGTTTCTCGCAATGCAATAAAACAACGGTACCTAGAGCCATCAAATTTTGAATAACGTACGTCTCCTCCCGAATATGGGCATCTGGAAGCCCAAATCTGGAATTTTTTATCAATTTCATATTTTGTAAAACTTTTACGAATTTTTTATTAAAAAACTCAACGACTGGAAAGCGAGCAGTGTAAGGAATAAAACATTTTTATCTCCAGCGCGCTAGATTTTCTATCGGAAATTCTATTCTAGAGTGTTTTTAAATATATTTAGTCCAAAGGAGCGGTTGTTTAAATCTTCTCGAAATGTGTATGTGCGTATAAATGAAAAAAAAAAAAAAAAAAAAAAAAAAAAAAAGGGGGGTTAACATAAAGTATGAAAGCTTTCAGACTTTTTTTAATTATTATTATTAACATTTTTTTTTTAAATCACTGTAAAGATTTTGATTCGAACCTAGAATATTTTGAAATACAAATCAAGATAAACGCTGCATCAACAAAATGTTGAAGAGTTTGTTACCAATTTCTAAATTAGTATTTTTACTTTAAAAATGTTAACCCTGCTTATTCGTGTTTACAAACAGATGTAATTTAACTAACAACTGCAAATTAAATAAGCAATTTCTACATAATTCACTTACATAATGCATTATCTTTTACAGCACTGGTAAAACCATAGCAATTATTTTGCAAGATCTTTGCTTTTTGTAATATGCAGACGCAGACTAACTAGCATATGAAAGAATATAAATTAACTTCGTGATTTTAAAAAGAAAAGAAAAATACGTATATTTTTAAAACCTGACTGAATTAATTCAAAAGTAGAAGGAGGGTGTTTAAAGAAAAACCCTTAATTCTCAAATACCGTTTTTGAAAATTTAGAATTAAAATCAAAGATTTAAAAGTAATTTTCACAAAACTCTTTACTACAGTTACGAAATAACAATTACTAATTACTAAGAGTTGAAACATTCTTTCCAAATAACTTGAGAAATGTTGAGAAACACCAGAGAAGCATGAGAAGGTTTTTAATTACCCTGAAAAAGCATACAAAGAAATTAATACTTATTAGTACTGAATTAAAATCAATGAGAGAATCAGATGAGAGAATAATGCGAGAATCAGAACATTAATATGAGAATGAAGTGCAAGAATATTATTATTTAGTTCCATAAACAACTGACTGGTATTGGGAAGTATCCACAGGAAGCTGCACAATCTATCAGAACGACGACGCCAACAACAGGAAACAGTGTCGCATGATGATGCTGATCGCTTCGAAACTAAAGATTAGGAAGATGAGGAGTTACGCAGAAGGAAATTAATAATTTTATAACGGCTTTTTCATCCCTTTATTAATTAACAGCTTTTAAATTTCAAAAAAACAACGGTATGTCATAAGATTTAAGACGGTTTTAAGAGTTTACTAACGTTTAAGATAATTTACCCATGATGTTTAAGACGGCTTACAGACATTTCAAGACAGGTTTAATGGTACTCATAAGTACCTCTTCATAAATCAGAGTTTTAACATAATAAATTTTGCAACATGATTAATTCGTAAGAATAATTGAAAATATAGCTTAATTCAATGGAAAAGCAATGATGGTAATCAAAGAAGTTTCTTACTGTTTATTTACAATTTTCTATGACTTCAAGTCTGTTAAACAATATTTTCGAATAATGTAAACGACTTATAAAAGATTTTCTCCCTTCTTTCTGCATGCCTTCGTGGTGTAACTGCAAGCACGCTCAAAGCGTTTTCGGGAGGTCCGAAGCTAGAATCCCGGCTAGGGAAGATCTGATTTCTTCAGTTTTCTTAAGTTCGAAAAATTCTAAAAGACTCTCACAAGTGGCGTTCGAACTAAAAGTTGGGGAACCATAATTCGTCACCACCAGGAATTGGCGATTGGGTCCTCTGATCCCAAGTTGCCCTTTAAAAGAAGGAATGTGCAAGGTATTTTCTCTCTCCTTTCCGCATGCCTTCGCAGTGTAATTGGAAGCACGCTCAGTGCTTATTCAGGAGATCCGGTGTTCGAATCCCAACTAGGGCATTGCGGATTTCTTCGGTTTTTCGACATAGAAAAATTCTGAATGATTCTACAGACTCAATAAATTCCTTAATCAGTTTATTATTATTATTCTTGCATCAGTTAGGTGTTAAACTACAGCAGATTAATTATATAACACCAAAGACGATGTCCACGGTTAGCCAAAAATCACGGTTAATCCCATAATAGTTAAAACAAATACGGGAAAGGGGGAAAAATCCATATTATAACTAACAGAAAAATGCTGTTCATAATATACCTATATTTTTAAGCACTTTATTTTGGAGAAAAATTCCTTATGTAAATTAAATAAGTCTAAACGAAAAAATATTTGAAAACAGCTATGTGTTTGCTTATATTAATAGAAACAGCTATGTGTTTGCTTATATTAACTATTGCGACAGAAGTCAATGGGAAACAAAACATTAAGGCCCATTTAAGTTCTATTAAATTAAGAGCTTTATTTTTATGATTTAGAAAAACAATGCGTATACAATCCACATTATGTAAAGTTAAATAATGCACTGTTGTAGATAAAAACCGCTTCCAAATATGACATCATTTGCTATAACTGCTGTTATCACAAGCATCTGCTTTTCCTTTTTGTATTTCTCGTAGAATTTTTGCTTTATTCTGATGGTTTGCGATAGAGTAATTTAATCGTTTTAAAAAAAAAAAAAAAAAAAAAAAAAAAAAAAAAAAACAGCATAAGTTTTATTAGACAAAACCTGGTTAATCTACGGTTGACTGTATGTAGCTTTCTTCGGTAAACACATATGGATTATTAAAGTCCGCATACTCTTCTGGATCATCAGAACTTTGGATATTAGCAATCGAAATGATTTTGAAATAATTTCTACTCGGTTAATCATAGTCAGGTATAATATATATTTTGGGAGTAAACTATCATTAGTGAAATGTAGATAGACATTGCAGGTCAAAAGCCTTTGGCAGAACACGTTTTTGAATGACTCTGTTAAAACAGAGATAGGCCATTTAACTGTTGTGGTCATTGCCACTTCTCATATATTTAACTCCAATAAACCAAGAATTAGGGTTGAGCTATAGGAAATCATTAAAGAAACAATAATAGTAATGCTGTAGCCTAAAATTCATGTGAGTATTCGTAATCTGTATAAATTTTCAATTTTCTATGATGAGACAATTATTTTGAAGATAATAATAATATCATTAGCAGAAATCTAACGACATTCTTCATTTTTCTAATTTTAGCAAGTTTAATTTTCGATTGAACAACTTCATGCAGATTAGAAATCTGTAATAATTCTGATAACAGAAAGCTAACTAAACGTTTTCTAAACAAATTGCACAAAAGTAAAAACGACTGGAAATAAATTAAGAGTAATTTCCAGGTAGGAAAAAAAAAATCTTAACCAGATATTATATTAATTTAGAAGTCAAACATCAATATTTTATTGTCGTATTGAAAAAAAGGAAACGAAATATCTTATGGGGAACGGAAAGCAGACAGACGTTTTATTCCTTTGCGTAAAGAATAAAAAGAGTAAAAAAAAAAAAATGTTTTTTTAGTGTTGAAGACTTGCAAAATTCTGTTGTTTTCAAGTATCTAAAGATTTTCTTTTTCTATTTAAAATAAATATTTCAGTCCCCAAAATCATAAAGCTTTGTGTTAAAAATGCGTTGCGACTTGTTATTACTATTATTAAA